TTAGACAGACTTGCCTGTAATTTGTACTAAAATATCTGAATACTTGGAGACTTTGTGAGTTTACTTTGGGAATTTGGAAGTATTTCAAACACTATTATTCCAGCCTTGATGATTCTATGAAACTATAGATCCCAGGACAAAATCCTGCTGGAATTCCACTGGTAACTGGCCTTCAACCAGGGTGAAAGAAATATTCACAGGTTTTTCCAAATGATAAGACCCATGTATCTCTGTTAAAACTTAGTGGATCTTCTGAGAATTAGATGTTCCCATAGCTCCTAGCAGAATTTGCTTGGTGAATCCCTGAGCACCTATAGTTTCTAACCTGTCTTTTCTCCTAGGAGTCACTTTTTGTTCTATTGTTCTTCTTACTTAGAAGAGAATGCTGAGGTTTTCAGTCCTGTAGACTGTGAGCTGCAGCTATCCCAGATTCTGAGTAAAGGCTAACACAGCAAGGATTATGTCTCAAGTGCTCCCTATGCAAGGGAATGTCTCCTTCCATCAGCAAAATTGAATTTCAAGTTGCTGAATTAAAGTGGTGTCAGGAATTCACTGCTTCTCTTTGAACGTTTAGGGGTGGCAGCCGAAGTATATCTAACACCCACTTATTCCAGTGTAGATAATACATTCCAGTGTATGATCTACACTGGAATAATAAAAGCCCTCAGAAACAAACTACCAAGCTCACTGCTTATTGCACTGACTTTGGCATCCTGTGGCCCAACATTTTTTTGCAGCATTTCATCTGCTGGGCAGCTGAATAGTGTGTTGTTCCTCCGCACAACTTACAAATGTTTATGTGGATAGCCTGAAATGTTATGTAAATAAAAATTAACTCCACAGCCTTATCATGATTTATTAAACATACACTAGGATTTGGAAGCCTATTATGCAGCACAGTTTGCTGTGGAACACGAAATGGGGCTGGAATGGAGCCTGGTTTTTGTGAGAGAGAGGCACCAGTAAACTGAGAGGGAGCCAAGCTATCCAGTCACAAACCTGGTTTCCTGCAGCACCCCATCTCTTTTCTTGGTGGTCTCCTGCTCCTGTCCAAAACAGGAACGTGACAGAGGGGCAGGTTTCCCTCCAAGCATCCTCAAATTCCTAGCACAGTCTAAATGGGAAAAGCAAAGGCAACACTTAGGAGCATTATCCTGCTACTCAGCTGTGTGTAGTGTGAGGCAAACATTAAACATGTCACTGTCCTATATCCCTAGGATGAGTTAAATTTAAGCACTTCATCTCACTGGCTAAAAAACTAGGCTGGAATTCACAGGAATTTTCACAAGAATTTTCACAAGAATTTTCACAGGAATATTCACAGGAACCTAGGAGCATTCCTTAAGTACGATTGGAGTAAAAATTCTATCACAAGTCATTCTGGTATGACCTCACTGTGACCTCATACAGAACTAACATTTAGCCAGCACATGTCTTTTAGGATTTGCCTCTGGAAAGCTCACACTGTGACTTGATGCTCTGACCATTTGAATGCTGATTTTTTTTTTTTCCCCCCACTTACCAAATTGCATGGAGTAGTTCTTGAATTTTGCAGTGGTTGTGAGAAAATAAATGTAATATAAGGGCCAGATCTATTAGGAACTGGCAGAGCTCCATGGACTTGCTAAGGTTGTGCTGCCCCAGCATTCATAAAGGTCAGATGGTTACAGACTCATGAGAGCAAGACAATGTTTAGGGCTTTGGCCAGGTTCCAAATTGGTGTGGTCAGTCTTGCTTTTCTTCAGAATTTGGGGCTTATTAGCTTATATCTACTTATTAGCTTATATCTCTGTAAATATGCAAAATAATATTTTTAAATGTGGCCTACTTAGCAAACCAGAACATTTGGCTTGCCAAAATGCATCTGTACTTTCTCTTAAAGCTCATGGCTTTGTCTGGAGTCCTCCATCAGTGACTTTGCACATCGACAGCTTTTATGGTGTGCTGTGGTTGTGGGTGCAAACCTCACAAGCAGGTGAGGAAAATTGTAGTTCCACCTCATATTCTCAGCCACAGCTCTGAGACTGCAGATGAAGATTTTTCTCCAGACACAAATAGGGAGGAGTTAGGATGTGACATTCTATAGGACAGCATTATCTCTCTCATGGGCCTCATTTTCTTGAAGACGAGAACAAAATCATTTTAGATTAAATTTGGCTTGTTAGAACTGTCAGAGTGCCTCATTCTCCACAATTTCATTCATCTTCCTGAGGAAAGAAGCCTTTGGATCCAGCAGCTGACAGGAAACAGCAACTAATGATGATTATTTGTATAATCTAGAAGTACTTTCTCTTCCTTTCATTTGGGAACACTCACACTCTCTCTCTGTGTCCCTGAGTTCAGCTGAACAGCAGCCAAACTGCATCACTCAGTTACTTCTTTAGTCTTTTAGAAAGGGCAGGACAAGCAAGTGAGCAAGGCTGAAGTAAGAAGGGCTTTGTTTCAGGGGTGGGAAAAGGGCTTCTCTGTGCTCCGAAACTGAGTTTAAAAATCTGAATTTTTAAGAAAGACAAGAAAAAATATTTAAGATTCCTGATTGTAAGATGAGCAGGAGCAAAAGAAGGAAAAAATGATGTGTTGAATTATTTAAGTTCATTAATACCTTTGGAGGAAAGCTTGCTGTAAAATGTCATGTCTGATTTCTTGCAAGCCTATAAAACTCTAACAGAGATTCTTGGTCCTAAAATACATCAAGTGCTGAAGAAAAAGTGTAAGTGGGAAATCAAATTTTATATAATTTCATTGGTCATTCTTTTCATAGATTCACGGTGTCACAGCATGGTTTGGGCTGGAAGGGAGCTAAAAGCTCACTCTATTCAATCCATGCCATGGACAGGGACACCTTCTACTATCCCAAGCCCTACCCAGCCTGGCCTTGGACACTTCCAGGGATCCAGGGACAATCACAGCTTCTCTGGGCACCCTGTGCCAGGGCCTCACCACCCTCACAGACAGGAATTTCTTCACAATTATCTAATCTAGACCTTCCCACTTTCAGTTTAAAACCATTCCCCCTTGTCCTGTCACTCTAGGCCCTTGTGAATAGTCCCTTTCCATCATTTTGTAGGCTACCTTCAGGTACTGGAAGGCTGCTTGAAGCCTTCTCCAGGCTGAATAATCCCAATTTTCTCAGCCTTTCCACTCATCTGTATGCTGTAGTTTGGCAAGAAAGGCAGGAAGAGACATCTCAGCAGAGATTTTTCCATAGGAATTAGTGTTTGATGTCATTGAGAGCACTTTTATTTCCATTTCTGATGCAATAGTAGGTTTTCAGCATCTACAGCATTCCCCATTTGGAGTTCAAGGAAAGCTGATTTCTCTGATCTTTATTCTGGAAAGACGTAAAATTTAAGTAAAAGCTAAGTTTAAAAAATATAATGCATTAGAAAGGGAGCAAAGTGTTTGCAGTATTTCCATTATAAATTAATGTTCTTGTTACTTCCCTGTCCAAAGAAAATTGGTGTGTTCCTGTGCCTGAGGACACTGTGTGAGAAGTACAAAGCAGTTTTTGCTGATCTACAGTTCATTAAAAAATAAAAATTAAAAAAAAACAACTTGCCTTTAGTGGGTCATCTGATGCTGTAACTGTTTGCTGGTCCCCAGCTTCCAGGTAAGTTTTACAATAAAGTTTGTTTGTGGGGGTTTTCCATTTGGTTTTTGAAAAATTATTATACTATACTCAACAACAAGCTTTGTCCACACCTGTTATTGAACTCTTCTGTGCTGCCAGGAGGCTTTCCCTGTTATCCTTTTGCCAAAGTGTTTCACTGCAGATGTGTTTTGGCATGGAAATGACATCCACACTTTGTCTTTGCAGTCTGGCAGAGCTGTGAGTAGCAGCCATGACCTCACTGATGCCATAATCACTGCACAGAAAATATAATTATGGTGTAGTTCTCTGAGCAGCTCTGGATTTTGCGTAGTGCAGACAGCAGGGATTTCAGGGAGTGTCAGAATCTGTGGTATTGATGATTCCGAGATTGTAGGAAGTCTCTGTCTTTCAGCCCCGCTGCCAAAGCAGAAGCCAGAATTGGTCTGTGCTGGTTTCAGGGTTGTTTATTCTGTTTATCTCTAACATGTTCTGCTGCCCTGCCCAGCTCTGTCCTGCAGGGCAGCGTGTGGGGCTCTGCCCTCAGTGGGATGTTACAAACATTAAATACCAGAAACTCCCTGGGCTGGATTTACAATAATGTGCCAATATCTGTCACCTACGTTGAACAGTGTGTCCCCAGCCTGAACCAACAGAAAAATGCCAACACTACAGTGAAACATGGAGGGCATGAAGAAGGAGAAAAAGGACAAGACACACCCAATTTCCTCCATCTTGTCCCCTTTGGACCCCTCATCTAGAATCCTAAAATTTTACTTTTGCACCTGTGCCACACTTAATTATTACTCATATCAAACACTCAGAGCTGGTAATTCATCCTGTAAGATTGAAAACTCTTTTCCATGGACAGAGATCACAGACAGTGTCTCTGGGGGCTCTGTCCAGGGGGTTCCTGACTCCCTGCCGGGGTCCCAGGACTTCCAGGGCAGCCAGAGGGAAGCTCTGGATTCCCACAAGGGAGGATTGTTTTTATTCCTTGTCCATTCCTCCCCCATTTGGCTGGGTACCTGTTCCCAGTCCTGCCTGCCAGGTGCCTCTACTGAGAGGAAAAGCAAATGCCCCCAGTGCCTGGCCATGGCTGAGGGAACAGCTTGCAGAGGAAATTTTTCAGCTGCTTGTTTATCAGAGGCTTGGAATTGAGCTGGGAATCAGAGTAGGTCTGATTTGCCTGTTAGCATCCAGCTCTGTTTAATATCAAGGACATCTGCAGTGCTTGCACAAGGCAGAGCCTTTGCTGATCAGTTAGCTGGGTTTACTCTGCAGGAAAAGGCCAGAGACAGCTTTCATTTTAATGGAAATGTGGTTCTGCAATACATAAACAAAGTTTGCTCAAAAATCCTGAACAACAATCACGCTTTAAGTTGTCTCTTTGTTTTGCTTTTCTTTTCAGAGTTTCTGGTGTCCTTTCCAGTTGGCCAGAAAGAAAGAAAGAAGAAGAAAAACCCCACATCCTCTTGTAGGACCAGATCCATCCTTTGGATGTGGTTCCTATTGAGTACATCAGATATTTCGCAAGTGGAGCTAAACACAGAGCTTGACCTACTGATTTTGCAAGTCCCAGTTTAAGTTCCATGTGTGCTTTTATCCAGTTAATCAAACAACTGTTTGTCTTGTGAGATAAATGCCCTGACATGTCTCTGTCTTCTCTCCTGCTTCTCACAAACCCTCTCTGGCTGACCACTGGGTGTCAGTAAAAGACTGCGAAGTGTTTCTTTGTAATTAAGTGTACATTAGTTCCTCTCAGGCTCTGTGGGTGTTCCTTACTTAAGGTGGCCAAGGCAAATTTGAGAATACAACTCACACACACACCAGGAGTATAGAATAATTAAAAAAAGCAGCTCCGATTAGCAAGTTTTTCCTGAATCATGTCACTATTCATACTATGAGGAAACTAAATAAATGAAAGAAAAATAATTTATCCTTTTTTTTGTTTTTTCTTGTTTGAGCAACCACGATTCCCAACATAATTGTGAGCTACAAAGCTGTTACATTTTACTGTATTCATATTTCTTGTTCATTAGCCATTATGTGACTGGAGGTCCCAGTCCTGAAAGGTGCTGTCCTCATGCATGCTCATCTGTAGGAAAATACCCTTACAAATGTATGAGAATTCAGGGGGTTCCATTAAAAAAAAAAAAAAAAAAATCTATTTTTCAATGCTCTTCCTCCTTCCACCAATGGGGAAAAATTCTGCTCTGAGTTCTTTGGCAGAATGAACTCAAAAAATGTGAATATCTCACCTGAGACATGAACTGAAAATTAAGTGACATCTGAAAATAGTTTAATTGAATGGAATGGGTAATTCTGTGTGTGCACATAATAGTTCCTGTATTTACATGTCACATTTGTTATATGTTGAATTTTCATCCAATTTTCAATTGAAGGTTGAAGGTGTAACAGCATTGGAGGAAACCTGAAGAGTTTTGGACACATGTCAGGAAACAAGTGGTCCCTGGGAGCTGGGCAGGTATCACAAATATTTGGGGTTATGTAATAGACACATTAATTGTATGGCACTGTAAAAATCATCTGCTGTCAGAAAAATTAGAGTTTCAGTCAGTTTGGTCCTACCTCTTTAGGCTGCAGAATCCTCTGACCACTAAAATAAGTTAATAGTCAATTACTCTGGTTTGCTGCTCCATAATGCTGCCATGTTCAGGAAGATACTGCTGCTTTTGCTCTAACTCTACTCAGACTTTAAGGCCAATTTGAAAAATTAAGCCATGTAAATACTTTAAAATAGCCTATTTTGATCGTAATTTCTTAGAATAAAAAAAAAAAAAATCTGCAGCAAACTCTTGCGCAATACAAATAAAATACACATTGGACTCCTGTTCAGAGTATAAATAGAACAAAACAATATTCATGCCAGAAATTCTCTTTTGCATATACAAAATTGAATACTGAATTCCCACTCTAGGTTCTTTCTCTTTCCAAAGTGGATGGTAAAATTCACAGGTATTTGAGACTTAACCATGCTACCCAAATGTGGTGTGAAGCAAGGAACAAAGGTTTATTTAACTGAATCTCTGTCCAAAACTTCTTAATATTGTGATTAGTAGGTGTACACAACCTAAATTATGTGTCTAAATTAGGGGGAAATAACAGCTGAACACTGGAAATTCTCTTTTTTCCCCTGCCCTGAGTGCCACTAGAGGCCCTTTTGTCACAGCTCCTGCCCCTACTCCGTGCTGGTGGAAAAGAGCTGCAAAATTTCCACCATTGTCAGTAATGCAACAGATGGTCTGGAGGTCGAAGACAAAATCTCTGGGCAGCTAAAATCAAGAATTAGCATTATTTTCCCTGTATTGTCAATCAAATAAAAAAGAGCATTTTTGTTTTACTCTAAAGCTGAACTCATCAACATATACCTTCTTAAGTGCCCTAGTGAAACAAAACCACTTGTTTTAATTACAAGAATTTCAGTTCTTTTGAAACAGTGATGCTCAGAATTTTTTTTAAAGAAGTTTTTATTTCAGCAGTGAAACTAAAGACTCTTATCTGGTCTGTTGTCATTTATAGTGGTTGGAACATGAAATACTTTTCTGTTTTAACAGGATCTAGTACTGAGAGTGTTCGGTGTGTAACATGCTCTTAAATAGTTCAGGTCAAAGCCTATGAACTGAATGTCTTTCAGCATTAATGAGAACAGATAAGCTGGAGCCACTCTGCTTTTCCAAACTTGATTTTACTAGACATTAAAAAGATCACATCCCAAATTAGATTTGTGCAGTGGCACATATATTGAATTTGAAGACCAGAAATCGAATATTTTTGTAAAAAAGTAGGTACTTCGGGCAAATGTTTCTTCATGTATGTAAGGCATGATTCATTTCCAAGTTGCTCAATAACAATGTAATACTGTATTATTTTTGTACATTGCCTCACCATTTTAACTACCATGACTTCAGAAAGGAGTGAAAGTGAAATAAAGGAAGGGTCAAACATCTCAGAATTGTATTTTTGGGAAATTTGAATAAGAATCTTTAGGATGATTATCAGGAGGATGTTTGCTGGACCTGGTCCAGTTCCTGCCAAGATGGAAAAGGATAATCCTGTTAAATTATCTCTCCTTTTTTTCAGGAAGAACCCCTTGTTTCTGGAGAAAGAGTCCCCTCAAGCTGTTTTAGACCTCCAGAAATTAAGACTATTATTCTCCATTATAGACTGAGATAAAGTGTAGCAAAAAATGAGTCAGCAATGAGTGGTGGTTTTTCATAATCAAGATAATCCATCGCTGACCTACCCTCACATGAGTTATGGTGGCTTTTTCACCACCAGCATTTTCTATCAACGTCTAATATTTTATAAAATTAACTGTGATATGTGGTGTACAGGAGATCAGCCTCAGTTACTACAGTGGTCACTTCTGGCCTTATGATTTTTGCCTCTGTTTGCTGCAACAGTTATTTCAGATGTTTAATATTTGCAATTTCAGTGTTTTATTTCATAGAATTAAACCTCTTGTGTTGGTCGTACATGTCATTCTTCCCAAAACCAAACAGCATAGAAAAATCTACTACCTTTGGCTGGTTTGAGACTAAAAAAAAACATTTAATTAATTCTAAGGGATTAGTGAATGTAAAAAGAAATGAGAAAAACATACAAGTAATCTAAGAGATCAGAAATACAGTCAGCTAACTTCAAGACAGTCAAAAAATGGCTTGAGTTTTAAAAGTGCATGTTAAACAAAAAAACAAATAGCTCTTATAGCCTCCCCATGTATAACTAAACATTTTAAATTATGCCATTAAATTTGGGGAATACTAAACTGTGTGACCCAAATAAAATTACTTCCAATAACACTTTGTTTTTTAATAGAAGTAGTGATGATTTAAATGCAGTTTGATATAAACATTAGTATATATAAAAATATATATATATATATATATATATATATATATATATATATATATATATATATATATATACATGAAAAATCACTTTAGAACAAAGAAAGTCTATCTCCTAGGAAGCAATCTGATAATTTCCAAGATAGACTCTCTTTGAAGTGTGGCTCTGCCCCTGAGAGCATCCTGCCACTGGTGCTGGTCCAAAGTGACCTCCTGCGAGGGTTTTAGGCAGAAAATACCCACCAGGCTTGGGCTGGAGCTGGTGTAGGATGGAAGGGACAGGGAGAAGAGACTTTCTGCCTGCCAGGGTTCTGCCTCTCACTCCAGAGCACTCCAGGCCTTTCTGAGACACTTCTCAGCCTCTCCCACCCTTTCAGTGAAGGAAGTTTTTGGCAGAGGTGTGGGTCAAGCTTTAAAGCTCTCTTCAGGGGTTCAGCATCCTGCCTTAATGGAACAGATTAGGGACTCTGCATTTAATACTTCTCTGTTTGCTGATGAGGTGTGGAGTGACAGTGACATAGGGAAGCTGTGTTTTCCAGCTTCCCTTGCTTATTTGCTATCTCTCCATCATTTACTTTCAATTAAAAGATTAGTGGTAGTTTATTTCAACCACTGCGACATGAAGCTCCTGCTCCTCTAATTGCAGTTGAAGAGGGAGGAAGGATAAAGAAATAATCTTATAGGCTTGGAGAAGGAAAGAAGGAAGAGCTGTCTCCTAGCAGCAGTCTTTGCCCTGAACACTGCCATGGCCACTGAAATTTGCTATTATATGTGGCAAGAATGGGATGCAAATTATTATCTGTGTCTCAGTATAACCTGCTGGAGTATTTTGCATTTTAAGGGTTTAATTGAAGCTCATTTGCTGCCAATGTGCACAATTATTTATTTCAGCTGAAATATCTCTCTTTAAGTGAATATTTGGCCAGTAATGCAGGCTTGTCTCTGAGGGCAAATCCTCTGAATGAGCTGCAGATCACAACATCCAGACAAGTAGTTCCACACAGAAGGGTTATTTTCTTGGGCTTTTTTTTTTTTTTTTTACCTTTTTAATCCTCTTATTCTTTTCTTTGCAGAATAGTGAGGCTTTTTTATAGTTACAGAATGGCCCTTTCATTATGAGTTACATGATTGTTCCTGGAGAAATGATGTTATGCATGCAAGTTGCCCAGGTCAGTTTATGTGTAATGTGTGTAATGGCTGCTTAAAGCCTGATTTGGTAAATTTAGCCTTGCCATGCCACTTGAAATTGGGCTCTTGGAACTGTTTCCACAGCCTTCTCACCAACAATGGGGCTGCTGCTTCTCCCTATGAGGTATTTTGCAGAGATCTGACGGGTCCCAGTGCTCAGCTGTACTCTTTTGTCAGTCCTGCAGGTGGAGACACAATGGGAAAGGTTTTCACTAAATTTCTCCAAGTGCTGGATAAGAAGCCTGGTCACATTAGGTACATTTAACATGTCATTTGTAGCTCTAATTTTCTCAGTGGTAGGCAATTGAAATATTCCTTCCAGTGTTTGGCATTAAGATGTTAAACCCACTTATTTCATTTGTTATTCAAACATATGTATCCACCCTCAGGGTGTTGTTGTCATGGGAAGCTGAGCCACTGAATTCTTTGTGGTGATACAG